CATTGTTTTTCTAACACACAAAACCCATCTCCATCTAACAGGCTTTAAAAATATTTTACGTTTCCAGATTTTCCCCCAAAACACTGTGCATTTGTGCCATGGGATGGTATAGTAACAAAATATTGATCGTCAAAAATACCAGTAAAGTTTAAATCATTGACTTTTAAAATAAATTCATTTGCTTATTTATTTTACATCCTGACTGCAGTTTCCCTTCCCTCCTCTCCTCCCAGCCCTCCCTGCCTCTGCTCCCTCATCCACTCCTCCTCTATTTCTATTCAGATAACGGCAAGCCACCCATGAATATCAACAAAGTATGGTATCAAATTGCAGTAAGAGTAAGCACTTCCCCTCGTATTAAGGCTGCACAAGCAACGCAGTAAGAGGAGTAGGGTCTCAAAAGTTAGTAAAAGAGTCAGAGACAGGCCTGTTCCCACTGTTAGGAGTCCCACAAGAAGACCAAGTTACACAACTGTAACACATATGCAGAGTGTATAGGTCAGTCCCATGCAGGCTCCCTGATGATTGTTGACTTTTTAAAAATGATTTACTTACTCCTATTGATGTGCATTGGTGTTTCTCCTGCATGTACATCTTTGTGAGGGACCCTGATCCCCTGGAACTAGAGTTACAGACAGTTGTGAGCTGCCATGTGGGTATTGGGAATTGAACCCGGGTCCTCTGGAAGAACACCTGGTGCTCCTAACCACTGAGCCATCTCTCCAGCCCAATCATTGACTTTTTTTAACCAGAAATGTGGTTAAATTTTGGATACATGCTAGTGTTTAACTTACTGTTTCCTCAATAAACTAAAGGAAAATAGCTACAAGATGTTTTTATAATATGTGACCTTTGGAGCTAGACTGACTGGGCCCATTTCCTGACTTTCCCTGACTAGCTGTGGCATTAGACAAGTAATTTAACTTTATTTTCTTCATCTACAAAATGAGCATCATATCCCATATTTGATATGAGAATTAAATTAATTGGATATATATAAGAACTTGAGATAATGTCAACACATAGTAGCCAGTTAGTGAAGGCTAATTATTTTAACTTAGTATAATCTTACAGCAGATCAGGATTGCTTAAGATTATGAAATTGTTACCCTCTTTTCAGAGCCAAATACACTAGGAAGTCGTGAGTTGCATCATGAACCAATGTCAGAGAGATGGGAGAAGCATGAGCTCACTCTTGGGTAGTGATTGCTGGGTACTCTTGAATATTCCTTACTCTGCATTTCCCACAGTTGTGCAAATTCCATGAGGTGACATACACCTATGCCATGAGATTGGTCCATAGGTGTCCACACTAGAAATGTCCCCTAGTTGTTGGGAGAAATGTCTAGTTATATGTCTGGAAAACACTTCAAAATGAGCCCCCTTTTCGTCTTTGCAGACTGTAGCAACAACAAAAAGCACTGATGAGGGCTGGTGATGTAGATCAAAGGCAGAGTGCTTGACTAGGATGCACGAACCCTTGGGTTCAAGGCCTATCACCACATACACACAATGTGGAGGCACATGCCCAAAATCCCAGCATTCAGGAAGACAGAGCAGAGGAATTGGAAATTCAGGGTCACTCTTGGTTCCCCATCTTAAAACATACACACACACACACACACACACACACACACACACACACACACACACACACTACCCATCACTTCGGTGATCTCATTGAAGTCAGTTTTCAAGACTAAATCCTACCTCTAGGCCACTGTGGCATCAAAAAATCTCTCCTTCCAGATTTTGCTTCCTCTAAGCTTCAGGAGGATGGAAAGTTGTGTTAATGAGAGGAGGAAGATAATGGAGTCTTACATGGACTTTGGAAAGTTGACTTGCATAGCGTCATCTCTAAGAGGATTCCAATCAACAATTTTGTTGTTGTTGTTCAGAATGAATGTGTAGGCTGGAGTCTGTTCTCGGGCCATAAGTCAGCTTTTGTTTTTTTCCTAACTAGGCGTGCTAAGTGAAGTTAACCTTAAATGGTAGTCACTCTTTTTTTTATTTGCTGTTTTATGCAAGTCTTTGCTAAGCCTTTCTTACTAAATTCTTAGACGTTTATTCAAGATTGACATTTCCACCACCATTTCCAACTCTGCTGGCACCGTGAGTACCTGGCAGCTGGCCACAGTAGCAGCATTACAATTACCTCCTCCCAGGAACTCATTAAGGCCGTATTGGATGGCGTCAACTGGAGTCATTCCACATTCATCCAACAGGTATTTATAGAGTACCTACTCTGGGCATGGTGAAGTATCATGAAGGCAGCTAAGGCACAGTTCCCCATTTCTCCTCTATTTAAAATCTTTTTAGTTGTTTATTTTATATGAAGTAGTGTTTGCCTGCATGGATGTTTGTGTATTACCTGAAGGCCTGGTACTTTCAGAGCTGAGAAGAGGGCATCTGGTACCCTGAAACTGGAGTTACAGATGATTGTGAGCTGCCCATGTGGGTGCTGGGAACTGAACTCCGGTGTGATGCAAGAGTGGCAAGCACAGCTAACTGCCAAGCCATCTCACCAGCCCTTCACCTCCTATTCTACCAAAATGATTTAAACATAGCAAGTCCAGGCATTGGTTTCCTTTCTTGTTGTTATGCTAAGGATTGAATCCAGGTCCTTGCACATGCAGGTGATGTTCTACCACTGAGCTGAATCCCCAGCTCCTCTGTTTTCTCTCTCAATCCTCTGGGCAGACTTTTTCCTGACCTTGCCAGAAGTCAAATATTTTTCGTTACTTCTAACTAAAATCACAGCTCATCTTCTTTTAATATATATTCTAAATTAATATCTTTCTCTTGCCCATGGGCTTTGTTTTGTTTTATTTTTAGTGGTAGCAGTTGTATGAAATGAGCCCAGGGCCTGCCTCAAACTACTAAGGAAACATTCTACCATGGCTCTATGTCTGTGGCACCTGCTCAGTGGAAGAGCTCTGCAAGGGGCCTTGGATTTGATCCCCAGTTGAAAACAAAACAAAACCTCATGTTAAATGTGAGGTGATGATGTTCAATTAAATAAAATTGAATGGAAATTCTGTTCTAGATCCTTATTCTAAGTATATAGGAATTAAAAATAATAAGAATGTGCTTTTATTCCCTCCTTGGGCTTAAAGTCTCTTAGAAAGGCAAACGTGGGCAAAGCAATGGTCTCTGCTGGATGATATCAGAGAAGACTTGAATGATCACCAGACAGACAGAGTACAGTAGGGTCCTGTACATTGAGAAGATCATGTATAAAGCCTACAGAATGAAGAAGTATTAGCGGTGAACGAAGTATGCAGAGTTGTTGCACCAAGTGGATATGCCTAGTCCTGAAAGACCTATGCTTGAGAAGTTTCTGTGAGTTCTGTCATCAGGAGTCCAAGAAAGAGGACTCCTTAGGGTGAGTAGAATGATCAGATTTGCATTTTGAAAGAATATTCTGGCTGTTATGTGCGGTATGAGTTAGATGAGAGTAAGATTTAAAAAGGACATTTTAGAAATGTAATAAAAAGGACCATACCTGGTCAAAACCCTACTATGTAGACAGGCTCTGGACCCTACAGAAGAACCTGCTGCTAGTAATCTGCTAAGTGGACAAAGTATTAGACATACTCATTAACACCTATTATTGTTCCTACAGATTAAAACACCTCTCAACTCTCGTCAGAGAAGTTTTTGTTTGCAGTAAACAAGGATCAATACAGACTTGCAACTTACCAACATGCAATTGACCCCTATCCTATAGAGGCTACTGGAACTAGTACATGGAGACAGTGGTAAGAAGCAGAAAATCTGTCTACTGAAATCTACAACATGCACGTTAAAGACCACTTGAAACATACTTTCTCTCAGAGGCTGGGGTTCACTGTTGGTGAGAGCCTCAGAAAGCTGAGCTAGGTAGATGGTAAACATCACTTCACAGAAAGCCGTTCAGTCCATAGTGTTCCTCTTGAATCTCCATTTTAACCAAACTGTTTTGGTCTCAGTCTGACACTGCTGGATAATTCACTGGGAGATCTGGAACAAGTGAGCATGTGCCCTGTGTGTCAAAGGTTGGCACACAGGCCTGTGAGCTTGGATCAAGAACAAAGCGTTCTGCTATGACAAATAAGGAAACTGGAGAGGACCCAGCCTGGCTCTTCTTTCATCTGTGCAGAGCGGTTGTCAGACGGCTCTGGACAACTCACCCCTCCAGTTCCTGCAGAGCAGATAGTCATCACCAAAGCTGTCCCAAGGAAGCACGTTTTAATGTTCAATAAAAATGGCACAAGTGGTGGCTCAACAAATATTAATGTTTGAAACTACTGTGTTTACAGCTGTGATTTCCCCCGTCTGAAACCTCACCAGCAGGCCGACATCCTGATACACTCTCTAAAGGAAAACAATCTAAAGGCAGGATGGGTGTGGCAGCAGGGAGGTCACTATGCAGAAGAAAACGCAGCTATTTAAGGGGATGTCGATTAGTCATTAGGCCTCTGGGATGAAAGGAATTGTGCCTCTTGGTACCTTGGTAACAAACTTCAGAAGGAGTAGCCCCATTTTAAGGCTCTTTGTTTAGTTCTTACTGCACAATAAAGCAAGTTACTAGATCACTCCTGTAATAGTTATGCACTCTGTGGCAAGCAGCAGAAGGCTCCTCCCCTCTGGGAAAAGCTTCCAGATTCCAAAGTAGGAAACATTCAAGTGTAGTGTTCCAAATGCATCATACATTTGCCTTATTTAAAATTTATTAGCAGTAATAAGCCAATTGAAAAGGGATAACAAAAGGGAACATTCAGGATAAATAACTTCTTCCATAACTTCTTCCTAATGAGCTATAACACAGACACACACATACACATACACACACACACACACACACACACACACACACACACACACACACACACACACACCCCTACCTCTGGGTGAACTAATTCCCACAAAGTTATACAATACAGTTAATAGAAAGCATGTTAGCAGTGGATACTGCCAGCTGGGTAAAGGACCCTGGGTGGGTCCTGCAGCTTCTTAGCCTAGATGACCAACTTCTCCACACTAAGTGTACTTGTGGTTTCATCTTCTTCATTGGAGCCGAAGTACCCCGGGAGGTCCAGCATCCTCTGCTCAGCCTCAGTGAGGCGGAAAGAGGTATTGTCATAGAAGGCAAACTCTGAGTGGATGGGGAAGCTCTGGCATTTATCTTTTCTGCAATGAGAAGGGCTGAGCTGACTGACTTTCTGGTAGCTATCTTTGGGGAAAATGGGTGAAGACTGCTTCCTTGAAACACTCCTGTGACTGGGGGACGGTCCCCTGTGAGCTCGATGAGGCTCCATTCTCTCAGCTCCTGCCACCAATCCTGCCTGGCGATCGCCCGAGTCTGGTTTCCTCCTGGGATGCCCCACAGTGCAGGATTTAGAGAGGGGGCCCAAGGGACTGTTGGCCCGACCTGCCCCTTGGAAGTGTTCTGATCTCTCTGGAAGCAGATGGGCACTTCGACTAGGAGGCCGGCACCTATCCTCTACCTGATCCCAGGTCCGCATCCTGGAACTATAGGTGGGGACCTGGCGGGGAGTCAGCGCTGACAAGCTTCTCTCCCGGAAAGGGCGGGACTGCTTGGTTTCATGAAAACTAGCTGTCCTCCTGAAGAGGGAAGTTCTAGGGTGGCATCTTTCCGATGAGCCCTCTCTCCCACCGGTCGACCGCATCTGAGACTTCCGGATTAGGGTTTGGCTGGGACTGACTGCACAGCTGGGCGGAGGCACGATGCAATCCAGCCTGGAGGGGGGCCTTTCCCCAGTGCCTGCCACAGGCTGGTCCAAAAATGGAGATTTGATTCGGAACTTGCTTGCTGTTGCTGCTTCTTCGGGACATTCCAGGTCTAAGGGAGGGCTGGCAGTGGCATCCACTACGGTGTCTGTCAGGGGACTCTGAGACACGTGGTACACTTTGGTGGTCTCTGTCAACCCCTTCTTCTTCATCTCTTTCAACTGCTGCTGAGCCAGGCGGTAGCTGAACAGGGGTGGGATGATCTTCTGAGCGTTGGACTGGAAACTCTCACTGCCAGAAGCCTCATCATCAGGAGCTGCTGGCGCACTGCACCTGTAAGTCAAAGGGATGCCTGTGTCCCCTGGGCTTCCCCTGGGTCCGTCACCCGCATCTGAGAAGCTTCCACGAGGTTCGCTCAGCTCGCAGATATTCTCCTCATCCGAGTTCTTTCGGAAGCCAGGGGAATGGATGGAGTTGTGTCGGGCAGGGGTGCTGCACTTGGGGGCTCTGCCGAACCTCCTCCAGAGAGTGATGAGCACGGTGGCAATAATGATAAACAAGCACAGGGATATCCCTGTGACAGTCACGACGTTGTTGGACTTCATCGGACCCTGGGGTGGAATAGAAGATGGGCCCGGTGGCCAGAAAACTTGAAAAAGAAAGAAGAAAAAGTTAAAACAAATGTATCTATGATGTTGATTTATCTGCATGATTTTAGGGTCAAAGTGGTTGCCCCAGTTATCAGAACAATCAAAGAGGAAAGCAAAAGAACCAAAGACTTGGATACTTGATGACAGCTGAAGGCAAATGAGATGACCAGTAAAGACAAAACGCTGCAGAAACAGGGACCACAGAAGGGAGGTGGACCGGGAAGCCACAACCAGCTCAGCAGCTGCTTCCAAGACCCCCCCTCAACATTCCACCCCCACTTATGAAGATGGAAACATGGGCTACCTACAGTTAAACATACCCGTGAGAGGCATTTGAGGAAAGTCTATGTATAAAACTGGAAACCAAAAATAGGATTTAGGGGTAGGGGAGGAAGGGAGGGAGAAGGGAACCGGGATTGTCATGTAATTCAATCTTGATTGTAATTCAAATAAAAAAAATAGGATTTAGGTAACTGTACCTAAACTTTCACAATTAGCAAAACTCCCTGAGGAAAATACTAGAACATCACTTGTCCCATTCTAATGTCTAGGACCCATCCTGAGCGGGAAGCAGGTGACCACATTTCTATACTCCATGGTCACTACCCTTGCCAGCATCTGCATGGGACGACTGGTCTTCTCGCCAATGGGTATCCCACAGTCCTGATGTTTTGTGAAGATGCAGAACCCCATGGAGTCTCGAAACCTGATGCTGACCACTGTCACCTAACCTCACTGTGCCCCATCCTACCCCTGCCTTAGTCACCGCCCACTATCTAAGTCCCTCCAGGCACCTGTCCCCTTTTCTCCATGGTATCACCTCCTCCACCTGCTCCCAATGTTTTTCTTGTGCTGTTCTACTTTCTCTAGTGCATACCTGATTACAAACTCCTCAGACTCCTCCATCTCCCTTAGAGGGAGGCACACTTGGCTTTCCCCACGGAGCAACTTTCCTCAATCCTCTCAAGCTGGAAGGAGAGAGAGAGAGAGAGAGAGAGAGAGAGAGAGAGAGAGAGAGAGAGAGCCCTCATAGGCCAGAAGAGGGTTTGGATGCCCTAGAGCTGGAGTTAGAGGAAACTAAACTTCTTCAAGATCTGATTGTCAACTTGACATATTCAGGAAAAGGGAGCTTCAACTGAGGAATTATCTCCATCAAATTATCCTGTGGGCACGTCAGTTGGGCATTTTCTTGGATGCTAATCCATGTAGGAGGGCACAGCCCACTGTGGGCAATATCATCCTTGGGCAGGTGGACCTGATCTGTATAAGAAAGGTGGCCAAGCCAGGCAGTGGTGGCTCGCACCTTTAATCCCAGCACTCGGGAGGCAGAAGTAGGCAGATCTCTGTGAGTTAGAGACCAGCCTGGTCTACAAGAGCTAGTTCCAGGACAGCCTCCAAAGAAAGGAAAGAAGGAAGGAAGGAAGGAAGGGAGGGAGGGAGGGAGGAAGGAAGGAAGAAAGAAAGAAAGGAAGGAAGGAAGGTGGTCAAACACGAGCTTGGAGCAAACCAAGTAGGTATTCATCCGTCTGCTCCAGTTCTGGCCTGCAGATTTCTGCCTTGGCTTTCCTCAGTGGTGGACTGTAATGTGTAAGATGAAATGAACCCTTCCCCACCCTAGTCTGAGGCAGGAGTCCATCCCAAGCGATCCTACTAGGCATGTGAATTCTCAGTGGCTGCCCCCATGTCTGAGTAAGTGGCTATGCAGGCCTGTCTGTGGCTCTGCATTTCCGCACTGTCCAACCGCAGCTCCCCACAGCACTTTCTTCACTGTTATCTGGGTCCCCATAAACACAGCAGCAGCTGCACCACTGTGTTGGCCTCTTTCTCACACCAATGGGGGACAATTGTGCACCTGGAAAATGTGGGTCCACACACCCAAGCTCTCTAAGCCGTCCTTCCCCAAGGGATCATCCGGCTGACCAAGCATCCCCTGTGTCCTCTCCAGCAGCTCCCTTTTTCTCCACATAGAAATGCACATGCTCTTTCAACCTTAAAGAGACCTTTCCCGGCCCCCACAATGCCACAGCCAATCATACTCCTTGTCTTCCCCGCCCTGCTTAGCAGAAGAGGAAGTGGAGTGGAAGCATTTTCTTCTATAGCCAGTCAAAACTCTGGGTCCTCGATTCAGTGAAAACAGTTGGTGAAAGACTCATTCCCTGGTGTGTCGCTCCTGTTATTGGCCATGACCGCTGATGACAGTGTGTGGCAGCATTCAGAAAAACACAGCTGGAATGAGTTTCTCACAGCTGCTGGTTTGGCCTATACAGCTTTATCTAACTCTTCCTGGATCTCTTGAAGTGAAGGAGATGCCCTGATGTTAAGCAGATCTTCACATCTCTAGGGAGTGGCAGACAGACAGAATAGGAAGAAGCAAATGTGTGAAATGATCATTTTTATCCAACTAAGCATTTATCCCAGGCCTCAGTGTAAAATAAGAGGTATCTTTATCACTTAACTGTCTTGTTAACAATGCGTGCTTTTCCAGACCCCACCCAATATAATAGAAGTCAGATGCCAGAACATAAAATACGACCCAATTTCCTCAAAAAGCAATTGCCAATTCCACTTGCTGATGTCTCTTCTAGAAAGCTACACTTGCCTAGATATAAAGCCAAAGTATTTAAGATAGGCAGCATACTATGATTCCTACTCCCTTTGATTCTTCATTTTGTGACTCTGGGCAAGGTATCTCCCTGTGTCCAGAGCCTTCCCTCGGAGTATGCAGAAGAAAGTATACGGTCATTGCTTAGTATCATAGGATTATTTCCTGGATGTTGGGGTATCAGCCTCTTCAGGTATCTATAAAGTAGTTTCATATTTGCATTGAATTCACATACATCCTCCTGCTCTGGAAGACATTTTTACGTTACCTATATTGCCCAGGATAGTACAACAGTTGTATAGCTAGTTGTCACACTATATTGTTTACAGAATAATGCCAAGAAAAATGGCTGGGACTGGCAAGATGGCTCAGCAGCTAAGGGCATTTGCTGCAGACACTGACAGCCTGAGTTTGACTCCCAGAACCACATGGTGGAAAGAACAGATGCTGCAAGTTATCCTATCCCATGACCTCTATACAAGCACCATGGCACATGCATGCACTCAAAAGTTCATGTGCATGTGTACATGCAAAATTTTCAATGTTAAAAAAGAGGAAAAAGAGATGTCATTTCTCTTATAGAGTTCAAGACTTATTAAGGAAGATGAGTTGACTGAGGAAGAAGAGCCTAGGCTAGGGTCTCGATAAGAAGACTAAATGGAGAATAACATTCTTCAGATGCTAAAATGAAGGACACAAGGCCTATGGAAAGACAAAGCAGCAAGAGGGACACTGGGATAGGCTTCTGGGTGCCTGTGGTCTTGGCTAAAAAGTTCTCTTAGGTCTAAACAAAGGGAAGCATCTAACACATCCCAACCCCAGAAGGATGTGGCACTAAGGATGCCTTTGAATCTGGAAATGGAGAGTACAAGAACATTGACAGAGGAACTTTATCTACAAGTTAGGACCTCAGCAAAAGCTGGCCAGCTAACCAAGCTCCTGCTTGGGAGGTGGCTGGAGTAAGAAGAACACGGACCCTTCATCGCCATAACTGTAAGTGCTATGCAGTTCCACAGGGGAAGCAAACCTGGCTCAAGCAAGTGATCATCCCCATGGACCACTCACATCAAATACCTTTGAGCAGCTATTAGGGTGGACCTCGATGATGCTCAGAAAATGCAGGGAAGTCCACTCGCTGAGGATAGCAAGAAGAAATATCCCTGCCTCCTCCTCCTCCGAGACAGAACTAATAACAAATAAACTGAAAAGGAAAGAAACAGGGCTCTTTGCTTCATTTTGACAACAGATGGTCTACACGCCTGCTTTGGACAACCTCTGAGATGAAGGGGGAAGATTAAGGAAAGATGTATTTCCATGGGAGTTTTTGTTGTGTTTTGTTTTAAGGTGGTAGAAAGTCTGGGGGAGAGATGGCAACTGGTTGGGCAGGGTGGTAAACCTGCAATCCTAACACTCCAGGTGCTGAGGCAGGATAAAAATTCAAGATCATCCTGAGCTGCAGAGTGAGCCCCTACTCCCACGCCCCCCCCAAAAAAAATCTGGTGCCAGCAAGATGGCTCAAATGGTAAAGCACCCACTGCCAAACCTGAGAGACCAAGTTCCATCCTTGAAATCCACACAGATAGGAAAGAACAGATTCCAGCAACATTCTCTAATTGCTTAATACACCCGAATCTTTAGACACATTCCCGTGTCACTTTCTCACTTCCAATACTAAATCCCATCATCTCATTGGCAAGTTACTATCCCAACTACTCCAAGCCTTAGATTCTGAAAAGCACAAAGCCAGAACCATGGCAATAAGAGAAGTAAGCTTTCCACTGAACACAGACTGGTCGTTCCGAGACAGGCCTTATTGACAGGGGCTGTGAGGAGTGGCCCGAAAGGAAGCAAGAACACCTACCAGCACACTCCTCCAGGGAGCATGAAGAGGTCTCGGAGGAAATTCCAGAGCAGCTGGGTCTGGAGGGGACAGAAGAGAGACACACACGGCGGCGCTCTCGGACAGCATCCCCACACGTGGTGCTACACTGACTCCACGGCTGCCATGGTCCCCAAGTTTCTGCAAGGATATAAGTCATGCTTTTAGTGCCGGTCATTTAAGAATCAGTATTTTAATGCACCCAAATGAAGTGGCAAAACTCAAAGCTCTGGTCTTAAAATGCTAGAGGTAAAAACATTTTCATAGATGTAAAGAATCTGGAGTGTTGGTCTTAATCTCAAAACAAAGAAGAGCTGTATAGTGTATACAGCCTCAGCCAGTCTTAGCATTCCTACAACCCACCAGAGAGCTGAGGTCACAGGGCAACAAACTAGCCTGCTGTGAAAGGAGAGTCAGGCCCCTCCAAGGAAAGAGGGGCTGCAACACTTGTTTGCCTGGGACAGAGTCCAGGACCCACCCACACAAGCTCATCAGACAAACACATCTAAAACGTAGTGAATTGCTGAGAGAGTAGGATGAGAACACAGAGCCCCTGGGGACAAGATAAGAAGGGGAACTTGTGCCCACTTGCAACTCTTCTCCAGGGATCCCACCAGAAGACTGAGGTCAAGTGTAGGACTAGTCAATGTCTCTTCACAGTGTGTGTCTGGAGGGACCAGGTCATAGTAAAAAAAGACACCAAACCTTACAGATCCTTCCTTCCATCTTTCTATGGAACAATAGCCTCAACCACTGAGGAAAACATAGCAAACCAACCACACTGAGAGCACTCACTGAGGCCAACTGTTGTGACAGAATTGGGGAAGCACTGAAAATGTCCTGGGCCCCCACTATTTGAGGTCTTCCACTGCCACATAAGATCAGAGCGCCTGACTCATCCCTGGGATTCAGATACATAGCACTTGCTTCAGATAAAAGAGAACCACGAGACAGTTAGTAAATTAAGTACCAAGTAGTTTAGTATTAGCAATTAGCAATACCTTCAGGTTAGTAAACTACATACCAAGTCCCAAATAGCCACGATTTGGTGCCTGTGGGAGGCAAGAGCTACAGGTGAAAATTAATGTAAAGGCTGGCAGGATGGTTCAGTAGATAATTGTGCTTGCTACCAAGCCTGAAGATCTGAGTTCAATCCTCAGAATCTACATACAAATCCTACAAGATGACCTTTGACTTCCACATGGGTGCCAAGATAGAAATTGAAGGGCATAGAAATATGAAGAAAATCCACTTGGCACCGCAATGTTTCTCCTAAACACAGAATAACACTGACGAATATTGAAATATTAGATACAGTAAGAGTTTGCCAGAACAACAGGAACAACCCAAACATGGCCCAACTCCTTACCATGTTAACCCAAACCACACAAAAATAGCTTATTGAAAACAGAAGTATACCTATTTCTGGAAATAAATTACATTTGCCTCAGTGTGTACAATTTCAAGCAATTCTGAGATGCATAAAAAAGTAAGAAAAAAACCAGTAACCAATAAAATCAGACTCAAACATGACTTAGATATTAGGTATATCGGAAATGAAATTCAAAATACCCATGACTAATGTGTTAAATTAGACATTAGTGGAAAAGTCAAACAAGATACACATATACATGAAAATGTAGCGCTATAAGCTAAGGATACTAACTGAAATGTTAGAACCACAAAATAAAGCAGTGAAGATTAAGAAAGTCTTCCTCCAACTTCCAGGATACTCAACACATCTGAAGAAAATAATATGAACATAGGAAACTAGAAATAACCCAAATGGAAACACAATGATATCTGAGTAAAATATGTACTCCCAAAAGCATGTGGTAGGAGTTTCACACACCCCCAACCGCACCCTGTGCATTGGTGTAGGGAGGTTCCACCTAATGGAAAGTATTTACGTCCTAAGGGCTTTGCCATCAGGAATGATGCTAATTAAGTTCATCCCAAAAGACTGGGGAGGTGTACCCTTTTGCCTTCTCTGTTGCTCCCCGTGATGACATAGCAGGAAGGTCCTCACCAGATGCAGGCTTCTAGACTTTGGCCTTCCCAGCATCTATAATTAGCAATAAACCTCTGTTCTTTATAAATTACAAAAATTCAGATATCCTGTTATTTTATATAGCAAAAAAAATGGACTAAGATAACAAGAAGGAATGAGCTGTGGGCAACAGAAAGACATCAGCTAGTCTTTCACACACATACTTGGGATTCTGGAAGGAAAAGATAGAATAGAAGAGAAAAATTATTTGAAAAGATATGTCTTAAAAGTGTTCAAAATGGGTGGGCAGTGGTGGCATACACCTTTAGTCTCAGCATTCAGGAGGCAGAAGCAGGCAGATCTCTGTGAGTTTGAGACCAGCCTGGTCTACAAGAGCTAGTTCCAGGACAGGCTCCAAAGCCACAGAGAAACCTTGTCTTGGAAAAATATGTCCAAAATTAATAAAGATACTAAAGGACAATCCAAGATGCGCAGGAAACATCAAGTAGGAAGAATACAGAGAGAAAAGAAAAACAAAACAGGAAAATGTGGGTCACTAAGATGGCTTGATGGATAAAGGTGTTAATCATGAAACCTGCAAGTCTGAATTCTACCCCCAGACTGGATAAAGGTAGAAGGAGGGAACAGACACAGAGTTGTCCTCTGGCTTCCTCACCTGTAGGATGATACACACACAAAACACACACACACACACACACACACACACACACACACACACTGTTATATATTGTTTTTAAGGGCTGGTGAGTTGGCTCTGCAGGAAAGGCACCTGCTGCCAAGCCTCACAACTTGAGCTCTACTCCAGGACCAACATGGTGTGTGCCAGAGCCCAAACTAGGCTAGCAACACATGAGGTCCACCACAGTTCCCGTCTTTTATCCCTGACATAGGTAGTGACTACACCTCATTCTGTTGGTAGGAGCTCAACTTCACAACTGGATGCAATTGTTAATCGGGACAAAGGGAAAGGGGGAGGTTCAGGAATGAGTCCTTGCTGAACTAACAAAAACAAATTAAAATTAAAGTCTCTTCTCCCTTTGAAAAGTCTTAAGAAGACATTTTATATTTGTCATGGATCTTAGAGGAAACCTACTGCTGGCACTTTGCTAGACCAGAATAATTCCTAACTGCATTCTAAATACTTGTCTTTATACCCACAGAGAAGTGTAGATCCCAACCCTCATCAAAGAGCTTGTTTTTGTAGCAGATGGAGACCATCACAGAAAACCAGAACTGGCCATAATGCAGAGAACACCTGACCATAGGGTGCCCAGCCCTAGTAGATACATCTACAACACAACTCCTGCACCTATGGTTCACAGAACACAGGGAAGATGGGCAGAAAGATTTTAATGGTCAGAGGACCAGAAGATCTGTGAGACTGCATCGCCTAGAAATGACAGGGAAGCCACAACCATGATATCAGAGCAGCGTGGCTTCCTAAACATGACCTGAATAATGAACATGCTAATAGACATGCTAAAAGGGAAAAGGGAAATCTTAAAGGCCCCACCATAGAAAAAGAACTACAGGCAACTAACAATTGCTAAGAAAAGAATTAGTCTTTCCTAGAGATAAGCCCCTAAGGCTATCCAACACCGATTGGTCAGTCCTGACATCATATACACATAAACAATACTAAACAGATTCAGCCTGTATTTATATATTTATATGTAGGTGTGTATGCATATTTAACAATAATGATCAAAATAAAAAGGCCATGAATTTGAGATGGAGTAAGGGGGAATGGAAGGGTTTGGAGGGAGAAAAGGAAAGAGAGGAAATGATATAATTATACTTTAATTAAAATAACATTATTAAGGGAAAAACCAAATCTGTTTCTTGAAGTAGATTGGAGGTAAAGATATATATATATATATATATATAGACACCTCTAGGACAATCACTAAAAATATTTTAAGGTAGAAATCATAAAGGATAAAGTAAATTTTCAACTAATCTACAAAAAAGAGAAAAACAAAACAAAGATCTAATGGAAGATTTATAACCCCAGAAAAATAGACTTTAATCCAAACATGTAATAGTAATGCTAAACACACATTGCATAAACATAACAACTAAAAAAAACAGATTGTTAGATTGGATTAAAAATCTGATATGTTAAGTCCAAATGGATCAAAGATCTCAACATAAATTCAGCCACAATGAACCTCCTAGAAGAGAAGGTAGGTGGTACCCTCAAACAAATTGGATCAGGAGACTGCTTCCTGAACATTGCACCAGTAGCACAGACATTGAGATCAACAATTAATAAATGGGACTTCCTGAAACTGAGAAGCTTCTGTAAGGCAAGTGACACAGTCAGCAGGACAAACCGCCAGCCCACAGAATGCAAAAAGATATTCACCAACCCCACATCTGACAGAGGGCTGATCACCAAAATATACAATGAACTCAAGGAGCTGGCCACCAAAACACCAAAGAATGCAATTATAAAAGTGGAGTGCAGAACTAAATAGAGAATACTCAACAGAGGAATCTAAAATAGCTAAAAGACACTTAAGAAAGTACTCAACATTCTTAGCCATTGGGGAAATGCAACTCAAAACAACTCTGAAATACCATCTTACTCCTGTCAGAATGGCTAAAATCAAAACCACTAATGACAGTTTTTGCTGGAGAGGATGTGGAGAAAGTGGAACATTTCTCCAATGCTGGTGGGAGTGCCAACTTGTACAACCATTTTGGACATCAGTATGGTGGTTTCTCAGGAAAATGGGAATCAGTCTACCTTAAGATCCAGCAAATACTCTCTTGGGCATAAACCCAAGAATGCACATTCATACAATAAGGACATATGTTCAACTATGTTCACAGCAACATTATTTATAATAGCCAGAAGGTGGAAGCAACCTAGATACCTCTCAACTGAAGAGTGGCTAGAGAATATGTGGTACATTTATACAATGGAGTACTACTCAGCGTAGAACTAGAAGAAACTATCCTGAGTGAGGTAACCCAGTCACAAAAAGATAAACATGGTATGTACTCACTCATATGATTTTTAGACATAGAGCAAAGGATTACCAATCTACAATACACACGACCAGAGGAGCTAGGAAACAAGGAGGACCCCAAGAGAAGATTACATAGTCCCTCAAAGAAGGGG